CGCCAGCATGTGGCCTTAGGCAGTTTGGCTCCAAAGCTCTCAGGCTTAGCAGTTCCTCAGGGCTTTCCACCTCCCCACCCTGCTTGCCAGTCCTCCAGCCCTTCTGGGCTCTGCGGTCAGGCCCCTGGGCACCTTTGCCCCCTTGAAAGCCCTGTTTCTTCTCATCTGCTGGGCCCTGCCTCGCAGGGCTGCTGTGATGACTGGGAACCAGGGTCTGGGACGTGGTGGCTCTTGCCAGTGATTGCGGAGCGTCAGTGGGCCGCGCCCTGCACCACCCTGCCCTGCCTGGGGCCCCTCGGCACACTCGTCCCGCATCTCCTCCACCTGTGTTTGCAAAACCTCTTCCATGGTTGGGCCTGACGCGTCCAGAGTGATAACGAAGCACGTTGTCTCCATCCTGCTAAACAGGACAAAGTTGAGGACGTTCAAGGTTGTGTCTGTACCGACTTAGGAGGCCCCACGTGCTTTTTTTTTTGCCACCCAGGAGAAAAACAGTGCCGCGGTTAAGACTCGATCGCTAATACGCACTTAACAACTGGTCGTCATTACGGAATATCAGCTGAGTGTGAAGGTGGCCTGGCTGAGGTGTCCTTGGCTAGTGCCGGTGGGGCTGGCTGGCTGCTTGGCCCCGGCCACCTCCTCTGCCTCTTGTGTCCCCCGTAGGCCACAGTGGGCATCATCTCAGGAAAGACAGGGGCCTTCCTTTTCAGAGTGCAGATGGCAGCCCCCCACGGCGTCTCCCGCTCCTTGGCCCATTGCCCGGGGGGTAGAGAGCTCTGAGAGCGTCCTCCAGGTGCCGAGTTGTGATAAGCGGCCCCGCCTGTGCCAGGAAGCGGGAAGAATGAGGCACGTGCCTCACTGTACCTCAGAAGGGGGCGGGAGGCTACACGGGCTCCCTGCCCGCCGTCAGCGCCTGGTTCCCTGCAGGCTAACCCCGGCGTGGACCTGCACTACTCCACCTTCAGCGACCCCCTGTACGTGGCTGTGTTCAAGATGCTGCGGGACACGCTGTATTGCATGAAGGGTGAGGACTGTTCGCATGCACGGTACAACCACGTGTGTGGGTGCAGGCGGGAGAGTGGGTCCCAGGCCCCCCGCTGCAGGGCCGAGGAGCCAGTTATGAAACGCACACGAGGGGCTCGTCCATGTGACTGACGTTTTGGGAGTAAAAAGTGAATGAGAGGACAAATAATCCCCTCTGGTCCTGCCACCCCCGACTCGTCAGTAATGGCGTCTGTGTGGTGGAGGACAGGTCCCTCATGCACACGTCACCTTGCTTTAATCACCCATGTGCCTTTACATGTTCCTGGAAGGAATTTTAGGAAATGTTTTAAAGCAGAAAACAAGGTACTTAGCATGTTAACATGGACATGTCCCA